GGGGCGCAAAGTGGGGGAAGGGCCACATCCACTATATCCTCCATGGATGCACCATCAATTGGCAGGCACTTGACAGCCACTTTCTGAATTCATCCAAAGGTGGACACTTGGGGAGATGCTGGGGCCAGGTTCTCATCAAAGTCATGGGCAGGGCCCAGGGAAGTGCTGAAAATAGAACCTTGGAGAGGATGGAGAGATGGAGGGGCAGATACTGCCTACTGGTTACTCAAAAGCCATTCTCAATGCCCTTATCCCTTGATTTTTCCTGCTAAAGAGCCTGGAAGGCAAAATGCTCAATGTCCCGGCCTCCCTTACAGCCAGGGGTGGCCATGAGACCCAGTTCTGGCCAATGATACATAAACAGAAGTTGGTTAGGTGGGGCCTGCAGAAAAACTGTTGCTTTCCTAATAAAAAGGGAACACATTTGGTTTCAGGGTTCTTTTGGCTTTGCTACTTTCTTTCTTCTTTGAAGGCAGATGTGATGCCTGGAGGTACAGCAGCCATTCTGTAACTATAAGGCAACAATCCAGCCATTAATGATGGCAGAAGATAAAATAGTTGACACTGAGAAGCTGCTGCCCAAGTCCAGACATTTTATTATGTGAGACAAATAAACCTCTTCATATGTTTGTCACAGTTAGTTGGGTTTTCCGTTACCTGCGATCAACACAGTCTTGACTGATATAGATGGGAAGCAAGAGAAGATGGTCAAAATCAGGACCAAGGAACACTTCAGGAAATACGTCAGCAGCTTTGTAATAACTTAGACACCAAATGTCTACAGAGGACAGGTTAGAAGATGGGCTGGAACTAACACCATGGCCAAGATCCAGACACCCAGGCCAAGCTCAAGAAATGAAGGATACTAAACCAAGACCAGTCCCAAAGTGTGAGCTTGGAGATGTGCACTGACCTGCCCTTTCCTCAGCCAAACGGCTGCTTTAGGACCTGGTGGCTCATGATAGAAGTTTGGGGAGGACAATGGGCAAGGAGCAGGGGCTTTGTGGAGCTGACGTCAGGCCCTGCTTTGCCACAGATCCCAGCCTGTTCAAGTGTGGCTGCCTCAAAACTCACACACGATGAAGCTGCCCATACCTGACCCTAGCAAGCAAGGCATCAAAACGGAGCGTGGCTCCCACAACATCCGGGGCCTGAGCCCCGTCTTGCAAAGCACTGAGCGAGCTATCTCTCAGCCAGGGGGAGAGGCAGCAGCAAATGCAGCCAGGAAAGGTGGCACGTATGAGCTCAAAGCGTGGCTAAGCGCAGGCTGGAGCATGGAAGGAGCTGCTTGAATAAAGCCATGAGAAGAGGGAGGCCCCACCTTCCGCCGTTGGAGTGCTCTTAGCATCAGAGGTTTCAGAGCCTGGTTCCTCAGATCCATCATCGGCCGGGGTCTGCAGGGGAGATTCTGGAACATATACAATGAGCCCCTCAGAATGGCTGCTTCTCTCCACCCCTGCTTTCGACCTCAGAGGACCTCGGGGACAGTGTCTTTTGGAGCTAAAATCACCCAGCGTGGAACCCAGATGGATGGACTGTGGCCACATGATAAAACCACAAAGGGGACCAATCCCACCCCCACCCCAACACAGCTGGGCCCCCAAACCAGGGTCAGCAGGCAAAGAGGCACGCGATGTTTACCTGTTCTGGGACGAGAGGAGAAATTGCCTTTTAATTAGCTTGTGGTTCCAATTGAGACAAAGGCTCTTATATTGACAAACGGGCAGCAGACACCAGAAAGCTAAGCCACAAGTAAACTTGAGGCTTTGTGTTTCCCTACTGAAGAGATTCATGGGAGATCACTGCCATGAATTAATGACAAATAATGACCTGGGAAAACACTCAGAGATCCAACTCCTTCCTCTGCAAAGGAATTAGCTCAGGGCAGACACAGTACCTACTTCTAACTGCACACTTGGCTGTGTCTCCAAGTACCGCCCAACAAGCCTTGAGTTACACCTGAAATGTCAGCCATCGCTAGTTATAAGAAAACTGTCCTTTCAGAATCCAAAGCCAAGGGAGCTCTGATGGACTCTGCAAAAGCCACTCCACCTGGGGTGGGGGCGGCCTTGGAGATAGAGGACAGGAAGCTGGTTCTGCATGAAGCAGACTCACGAGACGAAAAAAGGCAAGTGGTGTTCTAGCACGCTTCGAGATCAGACACGTCGCACCCTCTGCTAGAACGCCATCCCTGGACACTCAGCCCTGGCTGCACCCATCCAGCCAAAGAAGGGCTGATTCTAAAGAAGCTTCCGGTCCTGCAGCTTGCAAAAACCTGCCAACTCTCTCAAGTAGGCTCTGGACAAATGGTGAGCGAGCATGATGCAGACTGTCTGCCAGGTCTTATTATGGACCAGCCTCGACTGTCAGAGCACAGAAGCCTATGGGCATGATGGTGCCTCAGACACTTGTCCCCCAAACACCCCTCCCACGATCCATCCCCAGCCTACAACTGTCATCATCTGCTTTTTCCTTGTTAAATTTCTTGGAGGGAGGGAAGGAAGGAGGAAGAAGCCTCTTCTGAGGGTCTTCTGGAAGGTCTAACAAGTTAACTCATTAACATCTTTTAATTCATGTGGGTGCATTATTTTATCAGTTAACCAGCTTTTACCCACTTTGCAGCTCTCTTTGGCTCTATCTAACCCTATTCCAACGTTTAGCATCAATGCAGATGCTCTTTGTTTTAGTATTTTACATGTGGTTTCTTGTCATTATTCAAAAAAGTCTCTGTCACTTATCTAAAATGTTGCTTGTAAAGTGACACCTTCTGTCAAGTCACACTGTTCACTCCCCATATAAAAACAACTCATTCTAAATCCTTAGTGGCAAGAACAAATTTGATGAGAACTATGAAAATCTCTTAGGTATCAACTTGCTTTCTTGGCAAGTATATTCTTTGGGTAAGTTTGTTTAAACTGTCTTCAAACACTTTCAAAGCAGGGACAAAAAGGTTATTAGCATCATAAAATTTGCATATATATATTATACATATTCATACATACATCTGTTTCAGGATAGAACTTCCAATCATGTTTTATGTTAAAAGAATTGAGGAGTTTCAGTAAACATACTTTAAGCACCTCTGAGACACAAAATAACTTGGTAAATTTGTTCTTACTTTACAAATTGAATTTAGTTTCTCTTTCAAAAAATAAAAGTGGTAAAAACGACTTTTTTCCCCGGACTTTAAAAAAATGAACTTTTTATTTGAGAACAGTTTTAGATTTACAGAAAAATTGCAAAGACAGACCAGAGAGGATACCCCACACCCAGTTTCCCAAATTGTTAACCTCCTACATTATTATGGTACATTTGTGACAACACAATATATATATTTTAACTTAATTTTTAAACCAGGCTACCCTAAACAGAGCATCATTTTTCTTTTTTCTTTTGGCTGGTGGGATCTTAGTTCCCCGAGCAGGGATTGAACCTGGGCCACAGCAATGAAAGCGCCGAGTCCTAAGCACTGGACTGCCAGGGAATTCCCAAGAGCATCATTTTTTCATTGGCACAATTCATCTGGGGCAGAGTTCAGTATGTTGGGATTCTAAGTTGGATTCCACCCACAAGAGTTTAATAACTGAAGCTTCAAGGAGACTTGGCTAAGGGTGACCAGGGGCAAAAACAGCTGACATGGAGCTGAAGGCTATACTAGCCCCATAATCTCAGACACGAAACTTTGTCATCTGTAAACTGGGGAAGGCAACCTCCGCCTTCACTGGTTACTGTTGAGCGCTACCTGAGACGTCGGTGGCCAAAGCCCTTTGCCAACTTTTGTAGAGTCCTACAAAAATGCCTGAATTATCTTTTTTTTTTAAAGATTTTTTTTTGATGTGGACCATTTTCACAGTCTTTATTGAATGTGTTACAATATTGCTTCTGTTGATTTTATGTTTAGGTTTTTTGGCCACAAGGCATGTGGGATCTTAGCTCCCCAAGCAGGGATCAAACCCACACCCCCTGCATTGGAAGGCAAAGTCTCCACCACTGGACCACCAGGGAGGTCACCTGAATCATCATTTTAAGGAAGTCCCATTATAAGTAGGGTAGCCACATACTTTATCACCCAAATAGGGACACTTGAAAGTGAAAGCAGTGATACTGATACTGAGGCAGAACACTCGTGTGGAGGGATGGTGGGATCAGGTCCTCAGATGAGGGAGCTCTCAGGGCCCAGCTGCCGTTCCAACCCCTTGAGGAGCTGAAAATTAGCAGCTCTGGCTGGAGCCAGGCTGTGGCCTGGGTGAGGTCAGAATGCACGTTTCTTGCCACCATTGGTGCCTGACACCAGGAGGGGAGGGTTGAGCCGAATGGGAGCAGGCATTTCCCCTCACCCAGAGCTTCGGGCTGGGTGTGCTTCCAAGAAGGCCAGAGGTTGGCCTCTGAGCTCCGGGGACAGCCCATTTCTTCCCTCACCTCCCCCACCTTGGAGCCCACTTGTCTGATTCCCAAGCTCTGCCTCCTAATGTGTTCTCTGCTTAAACAGGTACAGAGAAGTCAGCCTTTGAAACAAGGCCCCCCAAAGAGTCCTGAAGCCTCTCCAAGGTAGGGATGTTTTCTCCATGTGCTTCCCCAACCCAGGCCTCCTTCTGGTAACCCCGCCTCTTCCAGGGAACCTTCCCAGATAGATGTACCCAGAAGAGTTCCCTTCCCACCTTGGAGCTCTACCACTGCCATCGACACCGCACACCCCAGGCTTGTTACTTTTAGCATTAAAAGAGAAAAGTAGACTGCCATTTCATCTCCTTAGAAATGGGTCTAGAAGACAGGGACCTAGTTTTCTTATCCCGGGGCTGCACGGTGGGCTGCTCCAGTGGGGCACTGGCCACCAGTGACACTGTGGGGAGAGGGTTCCTTATAGTACAACCCAGTGCCCTACAGGTCCTCTGGTGCTCCCATCAGCGATGCAGGGACTAGCGTTCGGAGCCAGAGAGAGGGCTCTGTGTGCTCCACGGGGCTCCCCGATCTCGGTGGTCAGACAGTGCACTGAAGGGGAGAGAGGAGGCCAAGCCAACTGGGCCAAAAGACTGTACTATAGAACATTTAGAGGTTGATGTGGTTTATTAAGGTATAATAGGGACAGTAAGAAACCCAGAGCTAACCAACTCTGGCCAAAGAGGGGCCAGACAGGCCTATTAAGGAAGAGAAAAAAATAATGTATAAAGTTATGTATTTTGCATGCTAATAAATCCTGCTGATTTATAGGTTAATGGGTATGGTTAAAGACTCAACAGAGCACCCTTGTATTAATTAGACCAACAAGCCTCCAGCAATCTTTATCATACTATATCCACGTATGTGGCAAACTCTCCTTTGCAAAAGGCAGATTTTCAAATAGCCTCACATTTTGAGTTCTGTTGGCTCGCTCAAATTAATGAGGTTTCAAGCCTATTGACAATCTAACACAATAAAGTATTTAAAACTCCTTTAAAACTCAGGATGCGAACTTTTCCTGCCAGCCCTTTCCAGAGCAATCGGGTCGGCCGCGATCCCCACAGCGCCTGGGCCCGTTACGCAGGGCCGTGCACTAACCTTTCAGGCCGTGCTCCACGTCACCCTCCTGGTCTTGCAGCAGGGTGTAGTCCCCCTGAGCATGATCTTCCATCACGTTGAACTCCTGGCGGGGTTCAGCCATCCTGGTTCAAAGCCCACCTGGGGAATGAAGATGGGAGGTGAGGGCTGGGATGCTGTGCTGAGGCTAAGTGCTTGGGGGTGAGGTAGGGGTCAGGGAGAGAGAGGTGCCACCTCCCCAGTTCACAGCAGGCAGATTTCCACCTCCCCTCTCTCCTCCCCAACAACCAGATGCCCAACCTCATCTACGGGGTGTATCGCTGCCAAAGTGTTATTTACTCGTATGTGCACTTTTAATTCACCAGCATCACATCAGTTCATGTCCAAAACCATCAGGTGGGCAGGGTCAGCAGGCCTGACTTGTTACTATGCTCACTGCTCTTCCCACTTCATTAGAAAGTAAATGCTGCTGACTGGTAGTTTGATGGGGTTTAAACATTTTTTTTTTATTTTATATATTTATTTATTTTTATTTTTGGCTGCCTTGGGTCTTCGTTGCTGCGCACGGGCTTTCTCTAGTTGCGGCAAGCGGGGGCTACTCTTTGCTGCAGTGCCCGGGCTTCTCGTTGCAGTAGCCTCCCCCGTTACGGAGCACGGGCTCTAGGCGCGCAGGCTTCAGTAGTTGTGGCACGTGGGCTCAGTAGTTGTGGCTCGTGGGCTCTAGAGCGCAGGCTCTGGAGCGCAGGCTCAGTAGTTGTGGCGCACGGGCTTCGTGGCTCCGCGGCATGTGGGATCTTCCCAGACCAGGGCTCAAACCCATGTCCCCTGCATTGGCAGACGGACTCTTAACCTCTGCGCCACCAGGGAAGTCCCTGATGGGTTTTTTTTTTTTTTTTTACTGAGAGGGAAGGTATCAGCTGGGCACTGCTGGTGAGGAAAAGGAGGCACAGAGAAGCAACGTGATCGTTCAATCACACGCTGCTGTGCCATGGAACCAATTTGACCTGGGTGTCCTGACTCCCCAGCTCTGAGTCAGGTGGCCCCCCGGGGTCAGGGACGGGCTTTCACTCACCTCACTGGCTCCCACCAGGACCCTTGGGTGTGCATTCTGAGGGCCAGGCTAAGTCCTTAACAGGGCACAGTGCAGGGGCATGAATTTGGGGCTGAAGAGCAGCATGCACTCCCCTCCCGCAAAAGCCCCAGCTGAGAGGTGGCTTCAGCTCAACAAAGCCCACTAGAAACGATCATTTAATCCTACTCTGCCCTTTTCCTTACTGAGAATATTTAATTCTTTATCTTAAAAATAACTCATAATTTTGAATTTCTGAACTTTTGAGTATGTCATTTTGCTGTGGTTCATTCATGTTACTTTGGATTATTCCATGTTTTACACTTTTATCTCTGTAATTTGAGTCTCTTGTAGTTTACTTTGATATCTCCCTTTTAAATGATCTAGTTATCTCATATTATTTATTTTCTACTTTATATTTTTTCTTGTCTTTGAAACTCCCCTGTTCTAGCTGCTTCTACTTCTTCCCTTTAAACTTTTTAAAAAGTTTTTTAAAAACTTAAAAAAAATTAAAATAAATAAATGGTGGGCTACAGGGTCGGAGAGTCCACCTGGGGCAGACACTCCACCTTATACTTCCCAGACTGACAAAGGTGTGGGGAGACAGCCAGCCTCTGGCACTGTGTTTCTGTTTTTGTTTTTGTTTTTGTTTTGTTTTTTTTTTTTGCGGTACGTGGGCCTCTCACTGTTGTGGCCTCTCCCGTTGTGGAGCACAGGCTCCGGATGCGCAGGCTCAGGGGCCATGGCTCACGGGCCCAGCCGCTCCGCGGCATGTGGGATCTTCCCGGACCGGGGCACGAACCCGTGTACCCTGCATCGGCAGGCGGACTCTCAACCACTGCGCCACCAGGGAAGCCCTACTGGCACTGAGTTTATACCAGCTGGCCACTGGCATACTCAGGTCCAGCTCCATTTCTCTCCTTTCTAGGCAGGACACGCTGGTGTGGGTGTCTGAGCTCTCTTCTCCACCCATGATGTAGGATAAGAAGCTGGGAGGGCTTAGGATGGTTCTAAGAATGAGGTCAGTGAGACCTCCTCTGGGTGAGGCAGAGGGTGGGTGGTCTGGCCCCTCCTAGGCAGCTACTTTTCATTCTGACCGAGGCCCTTGTCTCTCAGAGAGCTCTTGGGAGAGGCATCTGAGGCTGCTCATCTCCAGACCTTTGATATATGCCCACATCTCCAAACCTTTGATATCTCCCCAAGGATGAGCAGGACTTTATCCTGGGAAGATCAAAGCCCCATTCATCCTTCAAGACTTAGGATTTGGTGGTGATATTCTCTATGGTGATATTCTCTACCCTGAGATATACTGATGGTCTGTTTCCCTTAGAAAAGCCCCAAAACAAGAACCCCTGTGCTAAGAGCAACAAGTTTCATTATCAGAGGAGTCAACCACTGCTCCCCACCCAACTCTAGAAAATAACGCCTCCCCCGATGCTTCCTGGTGAAGCCTCTCTCAGGATGTCCCTGGTCACTGCCCAGCTGCTCGTGCCCGGGATTGGTCCATGAGTCACCTCACCTGCTGACTCACCAGGAGCCCCACCCGGGAGCGGTGGAATCCTCCCAGAAGCGCAAGCCTCCCAAACTGGCTGGAGACACTACACCCGGCCCGGGAGAGCCAGATCAGCCAAATCAGGTCGTCCTGTTCAACCTGCTGCTAAGGTTTTAGTGAACACTAAGAAGTGTAATGAGCCCCGTGGTTTTGTTTTGTAGATTTGATCAATTCCTTTCAAGGACTAAGTTTTCCCATTTGGAACATGGTGGATGGAAGTGTAAAAGTAAAAATCTGATGCACTGGCTTCTTTTATAAAATGCCCATTTACATCCTTTGCTTCTGTGTCATGCCTCAGTGATCACTGTAATGATTTGAATGAGTTCTTAATCTATAAGTGACATGAACCCTTTATCATATTTGTGGCTAATAGCTTCTCCTTTTACTTTGGTTTCTTTCTTTTTTTTTTTTTTCTTTTGGCCACACCGCACAGCTTGTGGGATCTCAGTTCCCCAGCCAGGGATTGAACCTGGGCCATGGCAGTGAAAGCCTGAATCCTAACCACTAGGTCACCAGGGAACTCCCTATTTTGGTTTCTGATGGCTTCTACTGACGGGTTTTACTTTTTATACAGTCAAGTCTATTTTTCTTTGTGATTTATTCCATTGCTCTATAGTACGTAAAGATCATAAATATTTTCTACTGTTTTTTTAGTGATCTAATTCTCTGTATTCAATTTATTAATTCATCTAGAATTTATTTAAGTGTATGATATGAGGTGGGAATCTAAACAATTTTCTCCCAAATACAACAGCTAAACCAATGGGCCCAGCCCTATTCATAGAACAGTCTTCCCTCTTTCCCCAGGTGAGTGAACCATCTATTCTGCTCCATTCACCTGTCCATTTTGGTGCTAGAGCCTCCCGATTTAAGTGTTGAATCTCCAGTCTTATTCTCTAGGTGGGATTAGACACTCTCATCATCTTTTTTCAAAATTGTCTGACTTTCTTGCACATTTTCTCTACCAGATGCTCTTTAGAACACTTTTTCCTCAAATTCTCAAAATTCCATTGGGATTTTGGCTAGAACTGCATGACGAGACAAAACGATAAAAGTTGCTATCTTCACAATATTTAGTGTCCCCACCCAAGAGCAAGGTATGTTTTCCCATTTATTCTTGTTTCTAAATCTCTTGGGGTGGAAGGAAGGATGTAGTCCTGCATCTTGCTGAGGCCACTTTTTTTTTTTTTTTAATTTTTATTTGTTTGATTTTTTGGTCTCTTTTTTTCTTATCTTTTCTAATCTTGCTGCAGCCACTCTTGATGTCTCCTCATCCTTGGCGTTGCCTTTGTGAGTGGGACCCTCCCCTTCATCGTGTTGGTGATATAATAATAAGGGCTCTGGGTTTCCACAGTTGAGATGATTATGGCTGGAGCTCTAACACTGGTACTGGCACAGTGGCAACGGGTTCCCCTCAAGGTCTCTGGGGAATGAATGGGAGAACCACTTTCTAGCCTTCTGTTTATCAGAGATGAGATCTCTTAGCAGAAAATCTCTCAGTGATTTGTGAGGACCCAGGTTCGATCCCTGGTCAGGGAACTAGATCCTGCATGCATGTGGCAACTAAAGATCCCGCATGCCCTGGTCTCTTCCCTGCCCATCTGCACGACCACTATGTTGGGGGTGGATGGGGTGAACCACATGACATGGTGGCTGCTTCTCACTCAAAGTCTGGAGGTGGGCAAGGTGGCCAGTTTGGACTTTGTTCACAGGCATGAGCAGGGCGGCATCAAAGAAGTGCTCTAAGGTCAATTTAGCAGCAGTCGGCAGGGCCAGTTGGATGGGTAAGAAAGGACTGTTGGCAGGGAGGTGACTGCACTGATCCAGGTATACAGCAAAAAAGCTGGAACCAGAGCGGGGGCAGAGGCCATGGAAAGGAAGGGACAGATCCAAGAAGTGTACTTTAGATAACATTAGACTGGGCTTTAAAACTGGGCTGGGGTCAGAGAGAGAGAGATCAGGATCCAGAATTACACTAGAGGTGAGGGCTTGGAAGGCTGGGAAAATGGGAGGGGGCAGCACAGTCAAAGGGAACGGCAACAGGGTCCAAGGCAGCTGGTCCACAAGGGTGGGTTCTGTCTTTAAAAGATCCCTGCTCAAAAGAAGAATCTCCCCCACTGCACTTTACCAACTGGTGATTGATTTGACTTAATAAGTTCTAGGAAGTAGATTCTGCTATCCCTCTTGATTTCCATTATAATTTTAAATTTTTTATGGATCTTTTTTTAAAATAGATCTATTTCAGGTCAAGGGTCAGCAATTTGTTTCTGTAAAGGGCCAGATAGTAAATATTTTAGGCGTTGGGAGCTGTGCCTTCTGTTACAACTACTCACCTCCGCTGCTGCAGCAGGGAAGCATTGATGATGAAGCATCTATTGATGACAGATCCGTAAATGAATGAGCACGGCTGGGTCCCAGTTAAACTTTTTTTACAGACACTGAAATTTGAGTTGCATATAATCTTATGTGCCATGAAATATTTTTTTTTGTTTTTGTTTTTTTC